GATTTACCAAGCAAATGGAGAGCAAAAGAAAGCAGGGGTTGCAATTCTCGTCTCTTATAAAATAGACTTTAAACCAACAAAGATCAAAAGAGACAAAGAAGGACATTACATAATGGTAAAAGGATCAATGCAACAAGAAGAGCTAATGATCCTAAATATATACGCAACCAATACAGGAGCACCCAAATATATAAAGCAAGTTCTTAATGACTTACAAAGAGAGTTAGACTCCCACACAATAATAGTGGGAGACTTTAACACCCCACTGTCAATATTAGACAGATCAACGAGACAGAAAATTAACAAGGATATCCAGGACTTGAAATCAGACCTGGACCAAGCAAACCTAATAGACATTTACAGAACTCTCCACCCCAAATCCACAGAATATACATTCTTCTGAGCATCACATCACACCTACTCTAAAAAAATTGATCACATAATTGGGAGTAACTCACTCCTCAGCAAATGCAAAAGAATGGAAATCATAACAAACAGTCTCTGAGACCACAGTGCAATCAAGTTAGAACTCAAAATTCAGAAACTAACTCAGAACCACACAGCTTCATGGAAACTGAACAACTGGCTCTTGAAAGTTGCCTGGATAAACCATGAAATGAAGGCAGAAATAAAGATGTTCTTCGAAACCAACAAGAATAAAGAAACAACATACCAGAATCTCTGGGACACTTTTAAAGCTTTGTCTAGAGGAAAATATATAGCAATAAATGCCCACATGAGAAGCAAGGATAGATCTAAAATAGACACCCTATTGTCAAAATTGAAAGAGCTAGAGGAGCAAGATCAAAAAAACTCAAAACCTAGCAGAAGACAAGAAATAATTAAGATCAGAGAAGAGCTGAAGGAGATAGAGACACAAAAAACCCTTAAAAAAATCAATAAATCCAGGAGCTGGTTTTTCAAAAAGATCAACAAAATAGACCATTAGCCAGATTAATAAAAAAGAAGAGAGAATAATCAAATAGATGCAATACAAAACAATAAAGGGGATATCACCACAGATTCCACAGAAACACAAACCATTATCAGAGATTATCACAAACAACTCTAAGCACATAAACTAGTAAACCCGGAAAAAATGGATAAATTCCTGGACCCTTGCATCCTCCCAAGCCTACACCAGAAAGAAGTCAAAACCCTGAATAAACCAATAACAAGGGCTGAAGTTGAGGCAGCAATTAATAGCATACCACCAAAAAAAAGCCCAGGTCCAGATGGGTTCACAGCCGAATTCTACCAGACATACAAAGAGGATCTGGTACCATTCCTTCTGAAACTATTCCAAACAATCCAAAAAGAGGGAATCTTTCCCAAATTATATGAGACCAACATCATCCTGATACCAAAATCCGGCAGAGACTCAACAAGAAAAGAAAACTTTAGGCCAATATCCATGATGAACTTAGATGCAAAAATGTTCAATAAAATACTGGCAAACTCATTGCAACAGCACATCAAAAAGGTTATCCACCATGATGAAGTAGGCTTCATCCCGGGGATGCAAGGCTGGTTCAATATACACAAGTCTATAAACATAATTCAGCACATAAACAGAACCAAAGACAAAAACCACATGATTATCTCAATTGATGCCGAGAAGGCCTTTGACAAAATTTAACAGCCTTCCTGCTAAAAACCCTCAATAAACTAGGTATTGATAGAACGTATTTCAAAATAAGAAAAGCTATTTATGACATACCAACAGCCAATATCATACTGAATGGGCAAAAACTGGAAGCATTCCCTTTGAAATCTGGCACTAGACAAGGATGCCCTCTCTCACCACTCCTATTCAATATAGTATTGGAAGTTCTAGCCAGAGCAATCAGGCAAGAAAAAGAAATAAAGGATATTCAAATAGGAAAGGTGGAAGCCAAATTGTCTCTATTTGCAGATGACATGATTGTATATCTAGAAGACCCCATTGTCTCAGCCCAAAAGTTCCTGAAACTGATAAGCAACTTCAGCAAAGTCTCAGGATACAAAATCAATGTGCAAAAATCACATGCATTCCTATACACCAATAACAGACTTAAAGAGAGCCATATCAAGAACCAACTGCCGTTCACAGTTGCTACAAAGAGAATAACATACCTAGGAATACAACTGACAAAGAACGTAAAGGACCTCTTCAAGAACTACAAACCACTGCTCAACAAAATAAGAGAGGACACAAACAGATGGAGAAACATTCCATGCTCATGGTTAGGAAGAATCAATATTGTGAAAATGGCCATACTGCCCAAAGTAATTTACAAATTCAATGCTATCCCCATCAAGTTACCAATGACCTTCTTCACAGAACTGGAAAAAAACACTTTAAACTTCATATGGAACCAAAAGAGAACCCGCATAGCCAAGTCAATTCTAAGCAAAAGGAACAAAGATGGAGGCATCACACTACCGGACTTCAAACTATACTACAAGTCTACAGTAATTTAAACAGCATGGTACTGGTACCAAAACTGAGATATAGACCAATGGAACAGAACAGAGGCCTTGGAGGAAACACCACACATCTACAACCATCTGATCTTTGACAAACCTGACAAAAAAAAGCAATGGGGAAAGGATTCCCTGTTTAATAAATGGTGTTGAGAAAACTGGCTAGCCATGTGCAGAAAGAAACTGGACCCCTTCCTGACACCATACTCTAAAATTAACCCCAGATGGATTAAAGACTTAAACATAAGACCTAACACCATAAAAACCCTAGAAGAAAATCTAGGCATAACCATTCAGGACATAGGCATATGCAAGGACTTCATGACCAAAATACCAAAAGTATCGGCAACAAAAGCCAAAATAGACGAATGGGAACTAATCAAACTCCACAGCTTCTGCACAGCAAAATAAACAGTCATTAGAGTGAATCGGCAACTAACAGAATGGGAAAAAATTTTTGCATTCTACCCATCTGACAAAGGCTGATATCCAGAATCTACAAAAAACTAAAAGAGATTTACAAGAAAAAACAAGCCCATTCAAAAGTGGGTGAAGGATATGAACAGACACTTTACAAAAGAAGACATACATGAGACCAAGAAACATATGAAAAAATGCTCATCATCACTGGTCATCAGAGAAATGCAAATCAAAACTACATTGAGATACCATCTCATGTCGGTTAGAATGGCGATCATTAAAAAATCTGGAGACAACAGATGCTGGAGAGGATGTGGAGAAATAGGAACACTTTTACACTGTTGGTGGGAGTGTAAATTAGTTCAACCATTGTGGAAGACAGTGTGGCGATTCCTCAAGGACCTAGAAATAGAAATTCCATTTGACCCAGCAATCCCATTACTGGGTATATATCCAAAGGATTATAAATCATTCTACTATAAGGACACATGCACACGAATGTTCATTGCAGCACTGTTTACAATAGCAAAGACTTGGAAACAACCCAAATGCCCATCGATGATAGACTGGATAGGGAAAATGTGGCACATATACACCATGGAATACTATGCAGCCATCAAAAACAGTGAGTTTGTGTCCTTTGTAGGGACATGGATGAACCTGGAAACCAACATTCTCAGCAAACTGACACAAGAACAGAAAATCAAACACCACATGTTCTCACTCACAGGCAGGTGTTGAACAATGAGAACACATGGTCACAGGGAGGGGAGCATCACACACTAGGGTCTGGTGGGGGGAAATAGGGGAGGGACAGTGGATGGTGGGGAGTTGGGGAGAGAAAGCATGGGGAGAAATGCCAGATATAGGTGATGGGGAGGAAGGCAACAAATCACACTGCCATGTGTATACCTATGCAACAATCTTGCATGGTCTTCACATGTACCCCAAAACCTAAAATGCAATTAAGAATAAAAATAATTTTTAAAAAAAATTTTATTTAAATTAGCTGGGCATGATGGCATGTGACTGTAATCACAGGTACTGGGGAGCCTGAGGGGAGAGAATTGCTTGAACCTGGGTAGGGGAGGCTAACTGAGCCAAGACCATGCCATTGCACTCCAGCCTGGGAGACAGAGCAAGACTCCACCTCAAAAAAATAAAAAATAAAAACCTAAAAAGATGAGTGTGCTCTTACTGTAGAGGTTATGTCTCCGTTAAAGAAATTCCAAACATATTCACATACACACACACACATGCATGCACGTGCATGCACGCACACACACACAAACACAAACACACACAATTCTGAGTTCTACATTCACAGAAAGTTGCACATAAAATAAACATAAAAAAATCCAGCCCATGAAGTGTTGCAGATGAACTCAGAATTGTTAATGAACCATGAGCCAAGTGAGGGGTACTGGCCACCCAGGATGCCCCTTAGCCCTCCTCTCCCCTCTCCCACCCCATCTCCTGTACACTCACCCCCCAACACACACATCCAGGTGCTCAGGTAAGATGCAGGCGCCTCACACTCCAGCAGCCCTGCCTTTCTCAGGAAATGCGTGTGGTCTCTAGCTCTCATTGCCAGGAGACAAAGCCACCCGCTTTGTTCCTTGGCCCCCAGCAGGAGGAGGAAAGGGAGAATTTCCTTAGGAGAGGTTCCAGCAAGAGGGATTACTGCTTCAAAGGGAGCATAGCGTTTCAGCCAGCTGAGCGCTGTGGCACCACCTTCCAGAAGGGGCCTGGCACCTCTCTTGAGCCCAGCATACAGATCCTGGCTGGGTCTGTAGTACAGACCACTCTCCTGCCTCCTGCTCCCTCCCTTGCAGTTGGTGACCCCTGAGGTCTCCTCTGAGTGGCCTCTGTCCTTGGTTACCCACCCACCCTGTCCCCTGTCCTTGTCCCCTTGGTGGAGATGGATAGCCCCTTCCTGTCCCCCCACCTGTGCCACTGCCTCACTCTTGTCATTTATTTCCTCACTTAGGTCCTCTTCTCTGAAGGGCCATGGAGCTGAGTGACCCAGCGTGCCTCCCTGTGTCCCACACTTGTGGCTGGAATCTTCACACTGCCCTGCTGTGACATGGGCCACTGTGTCACCTCTCTGCACGGAGCACTGCCCCTCCTGCTGGTCCCAGATCCATCCAGTCCAGAGTGTGTGCACCAACCCTGTGACTCTCTCCAACTCACTGCCTGAGTACAAAGGAAGAGACCAGGACAGCAGCAGAAAGGAGTGCTGCTTATGTGGCTCTTCCCAGGAGTGGGAGCCTCCCAGACCAGGAATGTAAAACCATTTTGCAGATGAAGCCAGAGAGGTTATGAAACAGACCCAAGTGGGCTCGCTCTTCAGTCTTGCTGTCCAGAGTCTGGAACGTGGGCCCGTGTGTGGAACTGCTGTGCCCAGGAAGCTTGCCTGGAAATCAGGTAGCATGGGTGAACCCCCAAATCCCCCTGTGGCAGACCATGAATTTGCCGTGGCTACACACCTCTGTTTTGCTTCCAAGAAATGAAACTTTGGCAGCTGGAGAGGGATGGAGGGGGCGGGTGGGGTACAGCAAGACCAGGAAACAGAACTGTCATCTAATGTCTACAGAAGGTGATAGAGCCAGCAAGTGGGATTAAGCACCTCTGTGCTTTGTGGCACTTAACATGTCTAAATCTCTCTCTAACTCTCTCACTGCCACACAGTGAGGAAGGGTTTCTGTTTCCATTTTATAGATAAGCAAACTGAGGCTCAGAGAAGTAAAGTCCCTTGCCCAGGAGACCCACAGCTGGAAGGAGGCGGGGCTGGAATTCATAATTTTTTTTTTGAACATTCAAAAGATACTTCTTATTTGCCTGTTTAAAAAAAAAAAAATTTCTCCCTTACTTTAGACAATTAGTAAAAGTTACAGGAGCCAACAAAAGGTGAAGGAGAGAGCTGTCATTCAAGGCCTTTCCAAAAAGAGGTATCAATGTGAAGAATGGTAAAGAGACACATTATGGAATTCAAAAATTTTAAAAACATCTTGCAATAAGAATAAGTCAATATTTATAATAAAATCTTGTGTTTGGCCAGGCACAGTGGCTCACGCCTGTAATCCCAGGACTTTGGGAGGCCAAGGTGGGCAGATCACTTGAGGTCAGGAGTTCAAGACCAAACTGGCTAACATGGTGAAACCCCGTTTCTACCAAAAATACAAAAATTAGCTGTGCATGGTGGCACATGGCTGTAATCCCAGCTACTCAGGAGGCTGAGACAGGAGAAGCACTTGAACCTGGGAGGCAGACGTTTCAGTGAGCCAAGATTGCATCACCGTACTCCAACCTGGGTGACAGAGCAAGACTGTTTAAAAAAATATGTATTGTTTTAACCAATCATTTAGTTTTGTATTACTGTATTTTAGAGATGTATTTCTAGAGATACATGTTACAGATGCATCTCTAGAATGGTTCTTATAACTTCTTTATAATTATAATCAACTGAATTATACAAAAATTCCTTTTACTAAACTTATTATGACTTATATAGACCATTCATAATGCAATTTTTGTTTTTCAAACAGGGCCTCTGTCACTCAGGCTGGAGTGCAGTGGCATGATCATAACTCACTATAGCCTCAGCCTCCCTGATTCAAGAAATCCTCCTGCCTCAGCTGCCTCAGTAGCTGAGACTACAGGCACCCACCACCACACCTGGCTAATTTTTTATTTTTTGTAGAGTCGGGACTCACCGTGTTTCCCAGGCTGGTCTCTAACTCCTGGACTCAAGCGATCCCCTCACCTCAGCCTCTCAAAGTGCTGGGATTACAGGTGTGAGCCACCGCGCCTGGCCCCAGGCTAGATTTTAGACCTAAGCCCTCACCTCATAGGCTGCAGAACTGAGCTCACATTCCATTGTAGGGGGAGACAAGTGATGAACAAATAAGATTAATATAGGCGAATGATGTTTTGGAGGAAATTAAATGAGATGAAATGAGAGAGGATGATAGCAAAGGTGTGGAATCTAGACCTGCCACATGGTGGGGGTGGGGGCACTCTCGGCAGAAGCCATGTCTGAACTCAGATGGCGAGGAAAAGGAGGAGGAGCCAGGCATGTGAATGTCAGACGAAACAGTGTCCTGGGCACAGCGACAGCATGTGCAGAGGCCCTGGGGTGAGACTGAGCCTGGTGTGCTGGAGGAACAGAAAGGCCTTCATGGCTGGAGTTCTGTGAGTGATGAGCAGGAAGGCGTTGTCTGCTGGAGAAGTAGGCAGGGGCCTGGTAGGTCACGTGGGGGAGTTTGGGTTTATTCCCAGGGCAGCCGGAAACCACCAGGAAGGATCGAAGCAGGAGGTTAACCGGATTTCCGGGACGCTCCCCACACCTGGGATCAGATTCAGGCTCTGCCACTTAATGGCTTTGCGATCTCAGACCCACAGTGTCAGTTCTCTGAGCCTTGGTTTCCTCAGCTGTAAAAATGGGGATGTCGGCCGGGCGAGGTGGCTCACACTGTAATCACGGTGCTTTGAGAGGCCGAGGTGGGTGAATCACAAGGTCAGGAGATTGAGACCATCCTGGCTAACATGGTAAAACCCTGTCTCTAGTAAAAATACAAAACATTAGCCAGGCATGGGGGCGCTCCCCTGTCATCCCAGCTACTTGGGAGGCTGAGGCAGGAGAATCGCTTGAATCTGAAAGACGGACGTTGCAGTGAGCTGAAATCGCGCCACTGCACTGGGCATTAGAGTGAGACTGCATCTCAAAAAAAAAAAAAAAAAGGTGGGGGGAGGGGATGTCAGCCAGGGGCATTGGCTCATGCCTGTCATTCCAGTGCTTTAGGAGACTGAGGCAGGACGAATGAATGCTTGAGCCCAGGAATTCAAGACCAGCCTGGGGAACATAGAAAGCCCCAACTCTACTCTCTCTCTCTCTCTCTCTCTCTATATATATATATATATATGTGTGTGTGTGTGTGTGTGTGTGTGTGTGTGTGTGTGTGTGTATAGTATATATATATATGTGTATATAGTATATATATATATCTGTATGTGTGTATATATATATATGTATATACTGTATATAATATATATATCAAAGTATATATATCTCCCTTTGCAGAGCAGGCCTGAATACCAATACACTATACTATATATAGTGTGTGTATATATATATATATATATATATATACACACACACACACACAT